TTAGTCTAATTCTCGTTAGGGTTAGGTTTTCAGCATATGTTTTTGTTAAGGATTGGGTTAGGGTTTGGGTTGGGATCACATTAGAGGGTTAGGGTTTCGAAAAGTCGTTCAGAACCAGCTAGAGAATGGGTTAAAAAAGTCACGTGACAGTCGAGTGTAGAGTGATTAATCATTATCTTATGTTTAACATAAATGTTTAATTAATTTCATCATTATTCTTATCACAGTTGGATAATTATTAACAACTTTCAATATCCGACTATTATATTTTATTAAATTAAACAGTTGTTATAAATATAATTTTTTGTTACATAAATTTTTTCACAAAATAATACATACATTATGTTTAAACCAAAATTATCTTAATTAATTAATTTTGTTTTGGGTACAACCAAGTGTGATATTTATATTCATTACAAAATAATTTGTATATGAATAGGTATGAGGTATGGGCAAGAAACTGTCACGGAAAATATGTGATTCATGTTTATTACGTTATGTAAGAAATTGATTCGGGTTGCACTCTATATAATTGGATTCACATGGTAGCTGTAGTCGGGATGTTTAACCTTTATCATGATTTCAAGCAGTCCTGCCAGGAGGTTGGTACCTGTACCCTCTCATATTACCCATGTGAACCAGTTCGAAACTGTTCTGTTCGCTAGTCATGTCCTCACTAAACCCCTCGTTACCATACATTTTATTCCAGCACCAGTCCACGCAGACCAGCAACTTGTAGATTAGAGTTAGAAATAGCTCCTTGATGTAGTTTATGAACTCTCTGTCTACTATAGCGTATATGAAGGGGTTGCAGACTATGCTTACTGACAAACTGTACATGCTGGTCACAGGATACCAGACTGGCAGAGAGCTTTTGTTAGGCGTGAACATTTCCACGAAGAAAGGAATGTAGGAGATAAGCGATGTTATCGAGATGGCCAGGATAATGAGAGTAGCTTTCTTGTAGGGTCTGCTCGGGGCCAGTTTCTGTGTGTAAACTCTTAGGATGGTGCATATTGTCACTCCGTTAGCGACCACGGTCGTGAAGATGGGGATGAAAATGTTGTAGAGCCCCAGGACGACAGGAAGCCAGTGGTTAGTGCTCCTCACTACCCTGCACGATAACACTTGGTTATCGTAGTCTGTCTGGGGAATGTTGGTGATGTGGTAACCCACATTGATCACCACGTCGTGACAGAACAACCCCACCACAAACCATCTCGTTCTGTTGGAGCTGGCTGAGCTGGCCCGGCCCAGCCGCTGGTGTATGAACCACAGTCTGTAGACAGAGAGGACCATGATGACATGGATCTCGTTAACTGCGAATATATTAGCAGCGATGTGATCTACCAGACAGAAGATGGTGCCGAAAACCCAGCGTCTAGCAATGAGGGTGGTGAGGGAAGGGAGAAACTGGAACACGGTGTAGAAAATATCAGTCACTGCAAGGTTTTGCAGCAGAATCCTGGAGGTCCTATCTATACTCATCACACTGTTGTCGAGTAACCCTGACAACACTAGAGTGTTGCCTAGCAACCCTGTCAGTAGAACAAGTGTGTTGTACACTCGCACGATGGAGACCCCAGTTTCCGTTAGTCCGGTCTCAGATAAATTAACGTAACCTGACGCTATCTCGATACCTGTCTTGTTAATTTGAAACATTACAAATACACTATACTACTGCTCCTGAAACATTACCTGCAAAGAGAACGAGGGTTTAAAGTTACGAATATTATCAATATCATGTAAATAAATTGTTGTAAAATCACGTTTTAACTGGTCAACAATGATTAAAATTGAAAACACTTCTTCAAAATAATTTGATATTAACCAAAGGTCTTTCACGGTGGGTTCGTTTAAATTATTTAAAAAACAACGTTTTTACTTTTGGCGTCGAACGTCCTTACGTCCGCAAAAAACCCAACGACAAGAGCAAAACGTGAGGGAAAAAGAGCACAATGCATAAAATAAAGAAATTTACAAGCTTAAATTTTCGAATAAGTTTTGAAGAAACTCGTCGTTTCAGTCATAAACCAGTCGGAAGTTGTGAGTGAATCAGCGGCTCACTCCTCAAGTTCAGCACGCTCAGTCACTCCTCAAGTTCAGCACGCTCAGTCACTCCTCAAGTTCAGCACGCTCAGTCACTCCTCAAGTTCAGCACGCTCAGTCACTCCTCAAGTTCAGCACGCTCAGTCACTCCTCAAGTTCAGCACGCTCAGTCCCTCCTCAAGTTCAGCACACTCAGTCGCTCCTTAAGTTCAGCACGCTCAGTCACTCCTCAAGTTCAGCACGCTCAGTCACTCCTCAAGTTCAGCACGCTCAGTCACTCCTCAAGTTCAGCACGCTCAGTCACTCCTCAAGTTCAGCACGCTCAGTCACTCCTCAAGTTCAGCACGCTCAGTCACTCCTCAAGTTCAGCACGCTCAGTCACTCCTCAAGTTCAGCACGCTCAGTCACTCCTCAAGTTCAGCACGCTCAGTCACTCCTCAAGTTCAGCACGCTCAGTCACTCCTCAAGTTCAGCACGCTCAGTCACTCCTCAAGTTCAGCACGCTCAGTCACTCCTCAAGTTCAGCACGCTCAGTCACTCCTCAAGTTCAGCATGCTCAGTCTCTCCTCAAGTTCAGCACGCTCAGTCGCTCCTCAAGTTCAGCACGCTCAGTCACTCCTCAAGTTCAGCACGCTCAGTCACTCCTCAAGCTCAGCACGCTCAGTCACTCCTCAAGTTCAGCACGCTCAGTCACTCCTCAAGTTCAGCACGCTCAGTCACTCCTCAAGTTCAGCACGCTCAGTCACTCCTCAAGTTCAGCACGCTCAGTCACTCCTCAAGTTCAGCACGCTCAGTCACTCCTCAAGTTCAGCACGCTCAGTCACTCCTCAAGTTCAGCACGCTCAGTCGCTCCTCAAGTTCAGCACGCTCAGTCACTCCTCAAGTTCAGCACGCTCAGTCACTCCTCAAGTTCAGCACGCTCAGTCACTCCTCAAGTTCAGCACGCTCAGTCGCTCCTCAAGTTCAGCACGCTCAGTCACTCCTCAAGTTCAGCACGCTCAGTCACTCCTCAAGTTCAGCACGCTCAGTCACTCTTCAAGTTCAGCACGCTCAGTCACTCCTCAAGTTCAGCACGCTCAGTCACTCCTCAAGTTCAGCACGCTCAGTCACCCCTCAAGTTCAGCACGCTCAGTCACTCCTCAAGTTCAGCACGCTCAGTCACTCCTCAAGTTCAGCACGCTCAGTCACTCCTCAAGTTCAGCACGCTCAGTCACTCCTCAAGTTCAGCACGCTCAGTCACTCCTCAAGTTCAGCACGCTCAGTCACTCCTCAAGTTCAGCACGCTCAGTCACTCCTCAAGTTCAGAGGCCCAAAGATTGTCAGATCGTTGTGCAGGAAAACCACTCCACACGCACGTACAGTGTACACACTGATTACAATACAAGTAACGCGTGTCGCATAGCAACAGGTGGCCGCTAATTGAGCAACGAAGGGTAAACGATCGTGGTTTTTGGTACCTTTACCGGAATGTGGTAAAAAGGCTAGCTGCTGCAACAGTAAAATAGTATTGATCCGCTCCTGGTCTTTTTGATAATGAGTAGCCTTTGTCATTGACAGAAACCTGACCGACTATTTAATATATGAGTAAGTCCGTTATTAGCACAGAGAAATTGCTCTTAGAGTGATAACTGATACAACAGCTAGGATTCTGTTACTCGGCTTCTCCTTTCAAAAGCTATGATCATGAATTCCATACAAAGGGACAAGTTGTCAAGGCAACAGTATGGATAGAAAATATAAATATCTGTAAAGTCTTGCACAAGTAACAATGCTGCTAAACCGCACCAAGAAATCATTAGTGCCATAATTATAGGCATAATTATTATAGTGTCCTATAATTGCTAAAACTAACCACTACTAAGTAAGTTACTATAAGTAACAATTATTAAACTGGCAGACTGCAGACTTAATTCTAATGCAGGTTTGGCTCAATTAGCATGATCCAACATTTGCAACAGTGCTTTAACAGTCATAACCTGACTCCTTAACATGGTTCCAGCCTGTTAGCACTTAGTATATTACTATTATAATAACAGTAATATCTAATAATAACTTAACTATTAGATATCAAGAATCCTACAGCTTTTACCAACACAATTTCATACATTTTGAACTATCGCGATTATTTTACATGGAAATGTTAGAATACAAACTTTAAGCCTAAGTCGGCACCAGTGGCGTAACGTTGCCTGTTGGCGCCCCCCTCCCCCCGCTGAAAAAGCGCCCCCTGTTGGCGCCCCCTCCCCTTTTGGCGCCCATTCCTAAAATTGAACAAATTAGATGATTTTAGAGGATACGCCGGTAAAATGTAAAATCTCTAAAAAAAGTGTGTTTCTACAGCAAAACGTGCAGTTTTGCTAGTAGTAGTACCGTAGTTAAGTTTTACCAAATTGTTCCACATTCAAACAACGATTTGGCGCCCCCTAAGATAGCCCCCCCCCCCCCCGCACACGGGTCGGCACTACGTTTTATGCAAACATTATAAAGAAAACTTTTATCTCAGGACCACCAACAAAGAAAGTTCGTTCGGTAAACTGCAACTTTTCGTGGAACAAGAGCATAATATGTCGCAACCTCACCCTATTCGCCGAAACATTGAATTAAGAGCTATAGTTAAGAGCTATAGCTATGTATAGTTCACACAGACAAAATGATTTATTGAAGTTATGCACCACTTCTAAAATCTAAGGAGCTTTTATAGAAAGATTTAATAGGAACTAGCACTTTAAGACACATAAGACGACAAAGTCATTATCAACTGCAGCTTGACGACTACTGGGTGGCAACTGATATCATCGTCGAATGTTTTATCATGATCGCGGTGATTAAATTTAAAGTGAAATTAACTTGAAATTTCTTTCATACATTAAGTCGACAAATCTTATACTCTAGTAGCATAGTGTACTAAAGTATTATAGCAGGTTCCAGTTTTAGAATAAGAGGACCACTCTTCCGCATTCCGGGAAAGCCAGTTTCAGTGCATGATCTAGTCACTAGTGTGACTACTGTGCTTCATTTGTAGCTACGGGTAACATTTCTTACTGATTATTTTTCTTCTTCTGGGAGTTGTTGTGCAGACACTGAGGGTTTAAGGGTTGTTAATTGTTCCGCTGATACAAGCTTGCAGTACACGCAACCCAGCATACCCACGAAGAGTAAGAAAGAAGAACGTGCACTCAATGCTCGACCGACGACCAGGACCGCTTTTTTGGCCGGGAGCGGGACTACACAGCAAGCCAGTAAATCTTGCTGCAGCCACATAGCAAGCCAGTAAATCTTGCTGCAGACACATAGCAGTCCAGCTGGAGCCACGCAGAGCTTATTTGCAGTTCTGGAATATAAGAATTATAACAAGCGGTAAAGTAGAAGTTAAACTTATCATGCTTAGTAAGAGCCTGCTTTATCATGTATGCTCATACAGGTAATGCTTTGTGAGCAAGATTTTATTTCAGGAGACCAGACAGCAAACCGTTTAAATTGGGCGCTTTTAAACTCGCTATTTTGGAACTGAATCCACGTGTTTTCTCTTGGTTTATTTATGGCTTACTAGCAGATAAAAGTGGTGCACGTCTCTTCTTACTAGACGTTACTTGTCAATTAGAGGATTAGCATGATTTAAATATGCTCTCGCCAAATGAAAGTTTTATGAACCTTTAATCAGAAACGTCTATATAAAGATTATAAATATTAAATAGGATATGAACCATCTCTACTGCATGTCTGTACTGCATGGACTCTAAAGATCTGTCTCTTTGATGCTACTGTGGAGTCAATAATCTTACTTATTATGGTTATAATATGGTTCTGAAACGTTGACAGAGTCATTGAAGAAGCGAATTGATGACTAGATGGCACTAAATGTAGACCAGAAGCAGCGCAAAACCAACAAAGAAGTCTCTACTTTATACATTATATCATTGTCACAGAAGCTACTGAGCAGTCTCACTCAATATTTCAATATGAACGGGATTTCGTTATACTTATAGCATCGAGATGAAAAAGATTTGCTATTCAATTTTGTAAATATGACGCAAGAAAAGTAGAAATATGCAGATACGATTACAGAGTGCATCAGAAACGTACGTTTAATCTGGAAATAGCTTGGTATATATAATAGCTTGGGAGGGCCGGGAGACGGGCATCAGCCGCACCTAGTCAGCAGTGTAGTGGAACCAAGTATTATCAGGTACTACCAAGTATCAAGCCTAGCTTTGCAATCCAGATCCAGATTTGATTTGATTTGCTCAGCTGGCGACTGTTCTTGTGGCGATATTGAATACGGAGCGCTATAATACAACCTAACATTTTGAACACTGTGCAAAATTTGGGCATATCGCAAATTCTTGGAATTAATCTAATAATAATATTGCAAGACTAAGCTTGACATAGCCCGTATCATTCCAATTTCGTTTTGAACCTGAAGCCAATAAATATGATGAATTATTGTTGCATTTAAACAAATCGTCTCCACACAGGGGGGCCAAAATGCAGTCTCCAGAGCAGATCCCCAGTAAAACCCACGTTATGATAAAAGCCAGCGAGTGTGTGCAGTGTACCCCCCCCCCCCCCCCCCCCCCCAGGTACAGTGTACCCCCCCCCCCCCCCCAAAACCCCCAGTGCAGAGTACCCCCCAAACCCCCCAGTGCAGTGTACCCCTCCCCAAACCCCCACATTGGGGTATGCTGCACTCAGAGTTCCACATTAAGTATGCTGCACTCAGAGCTCCACATTTAGTATGCTGCACTCAGAACTCCACATTAAGTATGCTGCACTCAGAGCTCCATATTAAGTATGCTGCACTCAGAGCTCCACATTAAGTATGCTGCACTCAGAGCTCCACATTAAGTATGCTGCACTCAGAGCTCCACATTAAGTTTGCTGCACTCAGAGCTCCACGTTAAGTATGCTGCACTCAGAGCTCCACATTAAGTTTGCTGCACTCAGAGCTCCACATTAAGTATGCTGCACTCAGAGCTCCACATTAAGTATGCTGCACTCAGAGCTCCACATTAAGTATGCTGCACTCAGAGCTCCACATTAAGTATGCTGCACTCAGAGCTCCACATTAAGTATGCTGCACTCAGAGCTCCACGTTAAGTATGCTGCACTCAGAGCTCCACATTAAGTATGCTGCACTCATAGCTCCACATTAAGTATGCTGCACTCAGAGCTCCACATTAAGTATGCTGCACTCAGAGCTCCACATTAAGTATGCTGCACTCAGAGCTCCACATTAAGTATGCTGCACTCAGAGCTCCACATTAAGTATGCTGCACTCAGAGCTCCACATTAAGTATGCTGCACTGAGAGCTCCGCATTAAGTATGCTGCACTCAGAGCTCCATATTAAGTATGCTGCACTCAGAGCTCCACATTAAGTATGCTGCACTCAGAGCTCCACATTAAGTATGCTGCACTCAGAGCTCCACATTAAGTATGCTGCACTCAGAGCTCCACGTTAAGTATGCTGCACTCAGAGCTCCACATTAAGTATGCTGCACTCAGAGCTCCGCATTAAGTATGCTGCACTCAGAGTTCCACATTAAGTTTGCTGCACTCAGAGCTCCACATTAAGTATGCTGCACTCAGAGCTCCACATTAAGTATGCTGCACTCAGAGCTCCACATTAAGTATGCTGCACTCAGAGCTCCACGTTAAGTATGCTGCACTCAGAGCTCCACATTAAGTATGCTGCACTCAGAGCTCCACATTAAGTATGCTGCACTCAGAGCTCCACATTAAGTATGCTGCACTCAGAGCTCCACATTAAGTACGCTGCACTCAAAGCTCCACGTTAAGTATGCTGCACTCAGAGCTCCACATTAAGTATGCTGCACTCAGAGCTCCACATTAAGTATGCTGCACTCAGAGCTCCACATTAAGTATGCTGCACTCAGAGCTCCATATTAAGTTTGCTGCACTCAGAGCTCCATATTTAGTATACTGCACTCAGAGCTCCACATTAAGTATGCTGCACTCAGAGCTCCACGTTAAGTACGCTGCACTCAGAACTCCACATTAAGTACGCTGCACTCAGAGCTCCATATTAAGTATGCTGCACTCAGAGCTCCACATTAAGTATGCTGCACTCAGAGCTCCACATTAAGTATGCTGCACTCAGAGCTCCACGTTAAGTATGCTGCACTCAGAGCTCCACATTAAGTATGCTGCACTCAGAACTCCACATTAAGTATGCTGCACTCAGAGCTCCATATTAAGTATGCTGCACTCAGAGCTCCACATTAAGTTTGCTGCACTCAGAGCTCCACGTTAAGTATGCTGCACTCAGAGCTCCACATTAAGTTTGCTGCACTCAGAGCTCCACATTAAGTATGCTGCACTCAGAGCTCCACATTAAGTATGCTGCACTCAGAGCTCCACATTAAGTATGCTGCACTCAGAGCTCCACATTAAGTATGC